CCTATTCCCCACAGGTCAGGCTGAGGGACCCCACCGGTGCACAAATCCATGCACTGGGCCTCTAGTTAATAAATAATAATACAAGAATACTTTGTGTTTTGTGTACTCACAACTGTAAACCTACTTTGGGCCCACCTTGTATTTCTAATGTTTAAAAGAACAAGGAATTTAGGGAGTTGTTATTGGAAAAACTAGGGAGCAAGACACATATATGCTTAAGTGAACATTAAATTCCTCTGTAAGGATAGCACTGAGCTCCAAGCAGGGATGGCGACTGGCATACTGGCAAACCGTGGGGAGGAACGGGAGTGGGGCTTTCCTCTGGGAACCGTTTTCTGCCTTTTCATTTTAAACCACATCAACGAATTGTCTATTCAAATACATTGTATCTTCTTAAAAAATCAAAAAAAGAATAGCGGGAGGGTAGGTGGATGCAGGAAGTATAGGCAACAGCTCTTGTCGAGTTGGTTGTAAAGCTGGCAGAGTCCACCTCTTCCTAGCTCTGCGGCCCGGGAAGCCAGTACATGTGTCTAAGTCTCCTGGATCTGGGGGTAGCAATACCTGCCATTTAGAATTACCTTGAAGATAAACTAAGAATATATATCAGGCACAGCACAGCAGTAGCATACAGGAAGGACTCTATAAATGATTGTTATTGTTATTTTTATAATTCATGAGTCTATAAAACTGTTGAAAACTCCTAGAACCACTAGGTGGCATCAGACTCAAATAAAGGGTGCCCCTTTCACTTGCTGAACACCCAAAACAGGAGAGATGTTTGTTTTCCTTATTCCCTAGTCCTTTCCCTCACATCTCACAACTCCATGCTTCTCCTCTGCATTCACCGCTCAGCTGGGCTGGGGCACAAGGGACTTGAAGTTCAATGCTGAACAGGGCGGAGGAGGTAGACGCTGTTCTGGGCTCCTAAGGTTCCGCCTTTCCTTTCATATCTTCCTTTGTAACGAGTGAAACATGACTGAGTGGGAAAGAGACTGAAGGTCAGAGACACGAAGGGAAGTCACATGGTGCTGGGGGCAGGCGGGGTGAGTGAAGAGAACTAGAACTATGGGGCAAGCAACACTCCCTGTGGCTGCTAAACAGACCACACCGGTAGGGTTTGTTTGTCAACACCGACTGCCTTGACTGTCAGGGAACATTCTTCTGTGTCCCGGACATAGGTGTACCTGGGAGTTTGTCCTGAGATAAATTTGGGGGCAGCTTAAGACCCTCGTCCGCTGCAGCTTCCTGCACTGCCATCGGCGCCCAACTTTTCCTCCCAGCCCTATCGCTGCTGAGTTGTGGCTTCAGCCCACTTTCCTTCCTGGGTTTACAGTATTATGGGTCTGTGGGTGCAGTTGTACTGATACCAGAGAATTTTAACAGATCATCTTCTTCATGAGGGCTGGTTTCCACAGGTTGGGAGGTCCAGGAATTATAATTCCCATTGACTAAAGGCAGGAAGGACCTTTGGCCGGCGGGGGAGGGAATCGGCTGGCCTGTGTCTCCCCAAAGCCGTGTTTCACCCTCACGACGATCAGGAGCCCGAGCTGTGGCGCTGCGGGCGGGCAGCCAGGGTTCTGCCCACCCGCTGCCTATTTCCGGGCAGAGCAGAATCCCCAGCAGAAGCCTGGCCAGCTCCCCGCCAGGCTGGAAAGTACCTGCTGTTTCTGGGAATGTGAAAGCTTCTGCTTCCTAGAATAGGAGCCTTCACAGGTAGTCCCTCCCAGTAACCAGAAATGTGTGCAGCTTTGCGTTTCATTGGTTGGTCCCTGTAGGGAGGACCGAGAATGAGGACGGTGGAAAAAGATTTGTTCACTTACCCAACAGACATTTAGTTTTGTCTACAATGACTCGAGCCCTGTGCCAGGTAGGAGATAAGAGCTTATTAGGACACATGGCCTAGTGTGGGCTCTGGAGTCAGGCCTGGATTCAAAGTCCGGCTCCACTGTGTAAGCTTCGGGAAGTTATTTAATCTCTTTGAGACTCGGTTTCCTCATCCATAAAATGGGGATAATAGTAGCCAACCTCATAGGACTGAGAATAAGGACTCAAAATGATAACACATGAAAAGCACCTAGCACAGTTCCTATTCACATTAAACACTATAAACAGCAGTTATCAATTTTTTATTAACATCGTTAATTACAGAACTGAGCTCTGCCCCTCCCTACCCTGGCTCCCAAAATATCAGACGCTGGTGGGAATGGGGAAGGATACAGTGGGGCAACCTCGTGAAAATCTATGTCCGTTTGGCTACTGTAGCTCTCAAAGAACAGAGAAAAGACCAGCAGGATAGCCGGCAAAAAAGTAGCTGTGGTCACCTCTGGGAAGGGAAACAGAGGTCAGACTACTTCTCCATGTGAGTGTGTGCTGCTTATAGCACAAGAAAAGTATTTTAAAATACATTTCTTCTGCACAGTACACGGCTCAGCACCAGGCACTGCCCTGCTCTTGCGGAAATAAGGTCGCTGGGCACAGACAGCAGCCCCCTCCGCAGACAAAGGCACGCGTGGTCCAAACCTGCATCACCAGCCACCGGGGCTGCCGGGAGGCGCAGCCAGGATGCTCAGAGCGCACTGGTCCTCCGAAGGCGGCCATGGGGTCCAGTGCCCGGCCTCAGTCACTAATATTTCTTCAAAACTCTAAAATACAAAGAATCCAAATTGTCAGCTGCAAAAATATGCATAATTGAGGTAATTTGTAACTGCGCTGCACCGTCTGCAGCCTGTGAGCGATCACCAGCACCGTGCGGTCCTTGCGGCAGCGCCAGTCCTGCAGCTGCAGGGGTCACACAGCCTCAGCACGGGCGCCGCACCCCCGGCCCGCCCCTCCGGTTTAGGGTACAGACGGCGAGAAACCCAGGAGGCAGGAAAGGGCCCACAAAGGGCTGCACTGCCCTTCTCAGCCACTCGCACTGCACGTCCAGGGCGCTGGTGGCCTCGTCCAGGATGAGCACGCGAGGGTCCCGCACGAGGGCCCGGGCAATGGCCAGACGCTGTTTCTGCCCCACGGCCAGCAGGTTCCCCTTCTCCCCTACGTCTGAGAGGCCACGAAACACCCGTCTTCACCTACCAGTGGCCACGACCCCCTCCCACAAGCAAGGACCGGGCACAGCTGGTGTTTCCCTGGCAGGCGAGGAGCCCTGGGGAAGGGCGGGGTGGGGGAGATAATT